AACTGAGAAAGCAACAACAAATAAGATATGCTCTTTATTCTCAAGAACTAATAATCTACTAGAAGGAAATGAGATCAATAAAGGGCAACAGACACTAAGGCAGCTTCTCACAGCTGAAGTAGAGACAAGCTACAAGACCACTGGACAGTGACCAACTGCTGCAGACATCCAAGTGCTGAAAATGCTGAAGGTACACTAGGAAACAGGGCTTGCTGGGGAGGGCCAGTGGTGGGAGATGTCACAGGAGAGGGGCCTGAGCCACAGAGTGTCCCCACTGAGAAGACAGAATGGCCAAAGGCCTGAGAGGTGGGGACGGGCAGGGTGTGTTCATGGGCCTGAAGAGAGCGAGCTGAACAGAGCCCGGGGCAGCCGCACAGGAAGCCATCCTCACACCAAAGGCTTTAGCATCCTGAGATACACCCACTACACAAAGACTGCAAACTATGGGCAGCCACAGTGATGCTTTCTGGACCCACATAATATCTTTAAATTGGGAAATTTTACATAAGAATCTGGATTGCTGCTTTCTTTTGAAAAACACTAAAAGGTCCGGCAGTGCCCAACCTACATTCGTGCCCAGCAACAGTTAGCTGGAGGTGAGGAGGTGAGACAGGGTGGGTACACTTTATCCACACAGTCCCCACCTTCCCAACTATCTGATGCTCAGCCTGCCTCACTGGTTTCTATGCCTGTGTGTGTGTAGGCATATAGGTGTGTAGGTGTCTGCTTGTGGCCCAGTTCCATAAAACCCTCTATAAAAGGACTTCTTGGCAGAAGAGGGAAGAGTGGGCAAGCTTGTTCCCCTAGTGGGTCATCATGCTATAATGAGCCACCGTTACTGTTACTATCAAATGCCACCCCACATAGGTGCACTCATCACTCTGTATTGGATTACAGTCTGTCTTCCTGTAACTTCTACTCTGGCCTTAGGGGTCTGTTCCCTAGACATATGTAAACACGAGATAACTCTTTAGATATCTGAAGACAGCTCTCATGCCTTATGCCTTTTACACGTGGCTGAGGATCAACTATGTACCAGGTTTAAAACTGAGAAAGCAACAACAAATAAGATATGCTCTTTATTCTCAAGAACTAATAATCTACTAGAAGGAAATGAGATCAATAAAGGGCAACAGACACTAAGGCAGCTTCTCACAGCTGAAGTAGAGACACAAAGTCAAGAGGATGCCCTGATCTGAATATGCCTGAGAGCAGAGACTGAGATCAAGGCCTGGGCACAGGGAGCAGGAATCCAGAAAGCAGGGGTGAAGGAGTAAAGAGTAAGATGAGAAAGGAGGAAAGCAAATAAAGGGGCTAACTGAGCAGATTACCAGTGTGGACAGCCTGGGCCCAATCGCTCAGTGGTCTCTCTGAAGAGCCATGTAGAATGTGCCTAGAATTGTCCCACAGAGGGTAGGAAGGTGGGGGCATTGACCCACTCACACTCCCAGTACTTGAGTGTTGCCCCACCTCCAGAGGGTTTAACTTCTCCACAGAGATGAACCTGAGCAACACAGCTGCCTCCAGTGACTTTGGAGAATGCCCCAAGGCCAAAGAGAAGAGACACTCATACTAGCTGCTGGGTGGGCTGCCAGCAATACCGAAATCAGGTGGGCAGAGGAGATGCAGCACAGTGATCTTGACTTTCACAGAGGAAGTAAAATCAGCAGAGTCTCAAAAGATAAGTAAATGTTCAGGAAACCAATTATTAGGAAAGCTGGGGTAAGGAGCAAAGAAAAGTATTGGGACCTTAAGGCAGAAAAACATTAGGAGCAAAGACGTGGACATTGAAAAACATGAGCTGCTTTTAGAGAACCCATAGTACTTTGACGTGACTGACTAGAGCATGAAAAGAGGATGAAGAAACAGAAGCAGCAGGGAACACAATGGAAGAGAAAGTTGAAGCGATAGGCAGAGGCCATATCATGAGGTCCTTGTATGTCATGCTAAGGCTTTCAAATTGTATCCTATAGATAAGTGGTTCTTGGCTTTTTTAGGGTTATAGAAGCTTTTGAGAATTAAATAAAAGCCATGGACCTCTGGCCCATGTGAATGGACAAATATCCAAACTATTGTACCTAATACAATGGACACACAGAGTCCATAAAGCTATCATTGGATCCTGTTAAGAATTCCAGGCAGATTGAGGAAAGGACATCCTCTTCAATAAATGGTGCTGGGGAAACTGGATATCCCTATGCCAAAGAATGAAACTAGACCCCCATCTCTCGCCATATACAAAAATCAATTCAAAATGTATTAAAGACCTCAATGGAAGACCCAAAACTGTAAAACTGCTCAAAGAGAACGTAGGGGAAATGCTTCTAAAAATAGAATTACCATATGATTCAGGAGTCCCACAAGTGAGTATTTATCCAAAGGAAAGGATATCAGTATATTGAAATGATATTTGCACCCTCGTATTTATTGCATCACTATTCATAGTAGCTAAGATATAGAATCAACCGGCCTAAATGCCCATCAGCAGATGAATGGGTTAACAAAATGTGATATATATACACAATGGAACACTACTCAGCAATAAAAAAGAATGAAATCCTGTCATTAGCAATAAACATGGATAAACCTAGAAGACATTATGTTACGTAAAATAAGTCAAGCATGGAAAGATAAATACTGAATGTTGTCATTGATATGTGGGAGCTAAAAAGAAATTGAGCTCATAGAAGTAGAGAGTAGAATTATGATTATTAGAGGCTAAGAAGGGGAGGATAGAGAGAGGTTGGTTAACGGATACAGAACAGATACTAAATTGTAGCTAGATAGTGAGAATATGTAGGGCAAATATAGTTAACAATAGGGAAAGTGCATTGAGAGGAATAAATAGGTGAAGGAAACTTGAAATCTGATCATATAAGGGAAGCTAGGTGGTTGGTCTGGAGAGAAGAAGACTCAAAAGCTAACAGAGTCGTGGTATTTAACTGCTGCGGGGGTGGGGGAGGTAGGTGGCAGGTGCCATAGTCATGGCTACCTAGCAGAGGGCTCCTTTCCTGCCTAGAGGAACTCTACTGTGTGTATGCTGGTGACAGGGAGAGCCTTCTGTGGTGTAAGCTGAGGGGTTAGATTGGCCTCTCTCAGGCCACTGGACACCCATGTGTGAGCAAGGGTGCTAGGCTCCTCCTGGCATCTGGAGCAAGGCATCTGCTTCACTTACTTATTCCTCTCAATGTACTTTCTCTGTGTGTGCCCTTCTTAAAGGGCACTTCCCAGGACCGAACGCAGTTCTGGAAGTCAGTCTGACCAATGCAAATGAGAGCCGGACTGGCATGTCCCTCATTCTCAGTGCAGTGAGTTCTCCATGGAGCCTCTTATCACCACACTACATAAAGGCTTAAGAATATGGAAGAACGCAGAGCATTGGTTTTTAACTAACAAGCTAAAAAGTGATAAAATTTTGGGGAATCAGACTTAGCTTAGAGGAAGACTTCATTTCAGGATAATTAATCAAAACAAAATAAATATGCTGGTCTGAGAGAATCGGAATTAATTATATGCTTTATCATGCAAGTGTATAATTAAGCTTTCTAAGATTCATACTCTGAAATACATTTGCACTGTTTGGGTGGGGGTTCGAAAGCACTTGTGGCTTTAGCTGCCTGTGTGCAATCACGTTAACTGTATGCTACTGGCCAATATCTCAACAAAACAGAACGCTCCACTGGACTAAACCAAGAGTTTATTTCCAAGAACAGCAATCCAGAGGTAGATGGGGAAAACCACTTCAGAATCTACTCCGGAGTCCTCTGTTTTCCTATGCAGCAGAGTTATAAGTCCCTGCTCTGAGGCATTGACTCTTTGGAGTATTTGAGCAGTATAATGGAAAAACGCTACACAATCCTCATTGAAACTGGAGTGTGGTTTCCAATTTCTTTTCCTAGTAATAGTATTTTTCATAAATGTAAAGTTTCTGAAATGGTCAAACCCACAAAATATAAACTGCTGTTTTCAGCCACATTAGTATTCCATTCCCATGCTGCAAGGATTAAATTAAATTAACATTTTTACATTTAAAGGGAAAATAATCTTTACCTGCTTTTTAAAGCAAAACCACTGTTGAGAAAAATATATTTAATATATGCACTTTCAACATAAATCACATTAATCCATGGAAAACAACATTCCAAGAGGCATTTGTAAATATTTTTAAATCCACAGAATAATGCCATTTTGTTTATGGAGGGTAACGGCATCCCACATATTTATGGCTTCCCTTTCTCAGATTTCCCAAGTAGCAAAAGCCACCACTGTCTGTTCCATAATAAATTTTACTCCTCTGATCTTGAAACTTTTGCCTTGCTCCATAGTAGTCACTCTCACCTGCATTTTACACTCTGGCAATCTACTATGCTCCTGTGAATTAACTCCAGAATGATTCACAATACAAGAAAAAGCCCATCACTCCCTTCCTTTCCTTCTATATTCCACTTTCCTGGTTTAAATTCTTATCATCCCATGTCTGAACAATTGCACTACCTTCTAACTGGTCTCCCTCTAACCTCTAATCAACCTGTACACAGCTGCCACAATAAGCTTTTCAAATCGCCATTTTCGTTGGAGCATTCTTGAATACTTCATTGCATCTAAATTTAGCTTATTTGTCCAACAAATGAATACCCCACATTCGGACTGATCAAGATGCATCAAGAGTTAAGGCCGGGAGCGGTGGCTCACGCCTGTAATCCTAGTACTCTGGGAGGCCGAGGCGGGCGGATTGCTCAATGTCAGGAGTTCAAAACCAGCCTGAGCAAGAGCGAGACCCCGTCTCTACTATAAATAGAAATTAATTGGCCAACTAATATATATAGAAAAAATTAGCCGGGCATGGTGGCACATGCCTGTAGTCCCAGCTACTCAGGAGCCTGAGGCAGCAGGATTGCTTGAGCACAGGAGATTGAGGTTGCTGTGAGCTAGGCTGACACCACGGCAATCACTCTAGCCTGGGCAGCAAAGCGAGACTCTGTCTCAAAAAAAAAAACACAAAAAACAAAAAAGAGTCAGTCCCTTCCCACCTCTTGTGGTGTGGTTGGGCCACCCTCCCCTACCCCTGACTTGAGATGCCTTGCTCCACTGTTGCCTGTCTACTGGCAGCATGGACGATCCCTGAGTGAAGGCCCAGCAGCACCAGCATCCTACCCAGAATGATCTGCAATCCCCACATCTCTTTCAATATCAGCCTGGATACCATCTCTTTCATGAAGCTCTCCAAGAGCATGATAGTCAGAGGTATCCCTACCCCCCACCTCTGCACACCTCTTTACTTTGTGTTCCTTTCTAATTATAGTTGTCATACACTGCTTTAGGAAGCCAGGGACTGTGCCTTTTTCATCTTTACGGCACCCTTAGAACCCAGTGGTCCCATCCCATCATCAGCAAGGGAAGAATCTAAAGCTACCCCCTTGATAAACTGCATTTTGGCATCTCCCTCTCCTTCTTGAGGCAACTCTTAATGCTTCCCCACTAACATTCCAGAACTTCCCTCAAACTTTGTTCTTGGAAAAAGTAAAAAGAGGAAATAATCTCAAACCATTTGAAGAGGATCCTAGGAAGTTGGATCTTGGTCAATGCAGAGCTGAAAGGACTATGGGAAACAACGGTCACGCTTGCCTACAGCTGGCCTGCCCTGGTATTCTTACCTAAAAGGGGATGAGTTCTTGTCTTAGCTTTCTTCTATTAATTAAATTATGGGGGGATTTAAAAAATGTAAGACTGCTTGTCTGTGAAATAAATATTATATTTCTATCAGAACAATTCAGTAATTATTTTATTTTTGTTTTCCCCCAAAGTGCTAAATTAAATAAGAGCAAAAATTATGCTGACTTTAGTGATTGCTAATGCATAGGTCTTAGAACAGTGCTTAAATAGGTGGCCCTCCATCAACTGTTAGTTGAACAAAGGAATAAAAATCTACTTCTATTTACTTATATTACTCATTTGTTTCCCAATTTGATAAAAAGTAGGAGTTGAACAGATCATAGCAACAGTTCAAGCAAGTGTTGAAGCTATGTTATCTACCATGTAAAAAGGCCCAAAGAGGTTACATAGGCTGCTGTACCAAGTTTTCTCTGGAAAGGCATGCACTGGACCAGACCAGGGAAAGTGACCTGGGCACTGGACGACAGGTGACTGAAAGTGAGGGAGCTCTGATTCACGTGCTGAATGTGGCCCTCCTCTGAATTTCCTAACGGCAAGTATTGAAAGACAATACACCTAACAACCATACCTGAGCTTTCTAAAATGCAGTGTAGCATCAAGAAGATGACAATGATGTTCCTATTCTCCAGGTGTGTATAATATAACTGGCAATGTCCTGGAAGGATAAATGAGGATTGCTGCCATTTCACAGCACTCCATGATTACAAATATGGCTCTTGGGGGAGGGGGTGCGGGGGAAAGGTGGGAAGTGAATGCCAACACATAGGTGTGAGTTTGTTATTTGTGCTTATGTGCTTTTCTGTTTAATAAGCAAGCTCTCCCTTTACCAGATTCTCTTTCCCCATTTCTCTGTTCATGACTCTTTCCCTTTTGATCTTCATCTTCTCTGTCCTCTTTCTCTTAGAAGGCTAGAGTACAGAAATGAGGCAAATATCTTGTCATTTCTTATGTTAATTAAGGAGAATTTTATATTCCTTCTTCTTAGAACATTTTATAACTTCTCGTTAAAAGACTAAATTATATTACTTTCCTATGTAGGTGGTCCCTGGTTTGTTTTATGCTCTTCCGCAGAAGGGACAGGGCCAGAATGCCCATTGACAGAATAAATGTTTCCCAACATTGCTGAGGCCCTAATGGACTAAGGATGTTAATCTTTGTGGTCTTTCCCATTCTAATCCTTCCTAAAGACAGAAATGAGAAACCATCTTCCTCAAACTTCTTATTAAAAACTTTGTAACATCTCTGCCTCGAATGAGTGCTGACCCGTCATATTTTCATCTGAAACCTACAGCATGAATGACGGTTAAGTGAGATCTCACATGGTTAAAACTGCTAGTGTCTATACAGATCCAACGGATCATTATTTTTCTTGTCGTTGCTATTGATATTTAGCAGTAACCTGCTAAAAGCTACTAGAGCCATTCACAGTTACACAATTCAGCTGACTCACATGGAAAACAAATTGCACAGTGGGTAGGAAGTGGCATGCAATTTCCAATTTGAGGTTCTTATTGGGAAACTTTCTTCCACCTGAAGCTAAGCTCTTTGAAAGAGAAATAAGGCTAGGAAGTTAACAACCAATATCAAACAAAAGGAGATGTTTTCTCAGACCATGCCCTAGATATTAGAGTGGCAAGCTCCTGAAAACAGACCGAACTCTACAAGACAGGGAAGAAAGTGACAAGCTACCAGGACTAAGAAGGCTTTCCCCAGAACAAGTGCAGAAAAAAAAATGCCAGTGTGAGAAAAATGTGCAACATACAAAGAGGTCACAGTATATCTGTCTAATTCTTACATACAAATAACTTGGAATTTGGTTATGAACAATATTCATTATCCCAGATATCTGGAAAGAAATGTCAACTTCCTATTTTTAGATGAGAAAGTAAATTGGTTTTCATTGTTGTCACCAAGATTTGATGGGATGAGACGCATAACTACATAGCACAGGGAAGTACAGTTGTCGTTAGGGCTGTTTCCTCACACATAAGACTGCACTTCCCCACCCCCTTTGAAGCTCATTGCATACATGTGCCTTGCTTTGAACAATCAAATGTGAATAGGGGTGATGCTAGTCACTCCTTGGCAGATATTAAGAGCCAGTGAGCAATTAGCAACATTCCCTTCTTCCTGCCACAGTGATTGTGGACAAATGTATTGAGGTAGAGCCCCCCTGAATCTAGGTCCCTGAGTGTCTTAGAAGAACGGACCCCTTTGCTGACTTGTGTTGGATATGCAAAGTGAGCAAGAAATAAACTTTTGCTAGGTCAAGCCACTGAGACTTTGGAGTTGTTTATTACTGAAGTACAATCAGTTTGAACATACATATAGGAGAGAATCACTGTGACCAAAATAAAGAAATTTAACTATGAGAAAAGCTGTTTTGCATACAAAGCAAACATTTACTTATATGGAAACCTAAAAAATGTGAAAATGGTAAGAAAACTAGCAAAAAAGGGAAGTAGGACAGCAAGATGTTGGCCTCTTAGGTAGACAATGATAGAGAAGATACTTCCCTATAGATGATGCTTCTAAACCAGCAAAGCCGTTACAGAGGAGTCACTGAGACATCAGCTGTCCTCATGTCTGCAGAAGCCTCGTTCTACTCAGAGCACAGTGGCCAACAACTTCACAGCTGCACTTGGTTAATTTCGCCTCTCAGAAGCTAGAGATACATCCATGATAAATTCAAGCAAAGAGAGTACTGAGTAATGTATCCTTAGACTTAAAAACATATTTACAAGTTTAGAAATTATAAATTTTTTTCCTTCGACTTAAAAACATATTTACAAGTGTAGAAATTGTAAACTCCTTCCCTCCCCTCCCCTTCCCTTCCCTTCCCTTCTCTTCCCTTCCCTTCCGAGTCAGCCACAAATGGCAGGACCAGCAAGGCTAAAGCCAAAGAAGCAGCGGGGGCTGAGGAGGTGTCCAGGAACTGCAGGGTCAGAGCCAAGGAGGTCGGCAGGGCTGGACCAATGTGGTGGTCAGAGCTGGGGGGCCCAAGGGGGCAATGATGCCAAGGAAGCTGGGGTGAAGAAGATAGCTGGCAGGGTCAGGAACCAGGTTCATACAGGAAGAATGGGCAAATAAATACACTAAGAATTACAAGAGACATATATATATTTCTTTTTGCTGCAAAGGTCTACATAGGTATATCTGGTGCCATCGCAGCTCATGCACATTGTTACTCACCTGCTGGCCTCAGGAAACAGAACCATGGCCACCATTAGCCTTGTGGGATGAGGCAGACTGAGGGCCGAGCTACCCACCAGTGGCTTAGATACTAACCAATACACAACACACATCAACACACATCAGTGTGTGATTCCTACACACTGGTCCTGCGCTATTCCTACAGAAGTTAAAGGTTTTAAGATGCTACGTCTTTAAAAATCATAGTTAACAAGGTATATTCACAGTAATTTTTAGTTCTAAAGAGGGGAGGTGAGCCAAAGAATAGGGTATATCACGCACACATCTGAAAGAGGAATTGGAAAACCCGGGAAGGAGGCACCATTCCCAGATGATCTGAGATAACAGTTCAGCCCATTTCTTCCTAGAAAACAAGGCAGGTACCTTTACGTCCTGGATGAACCTGCCCTCCATGGCCAGAAAGCTGAGAAGTCAATAGAAACTGAGGGGCAAAAAGAAGAGACCAGGCAGAGAGGAAAAGGAGAAGCAACTAAATGAAAGCAAATTTTCCCCAGACTTGACTTCCAAAACAACTTAAAGCATAATATCTTTTGTGCATAACAAAAATAGCTATTATTTGATTTGTTTTTTAATAATGTTTCATAACAATCTATTAATTTATTTCATCTTGAAAAAATGAAAACAATAGACAAAATGAAAGGACCAATTTTATTTGGCCTTATCATTAGAAGTCCATCCTGCAGATTTTAAGGATTTCTGTTCAACCAATATCTGTAAACTCTACAAAGGGCTATAATTTCCTCTGGAATTTCTTCTAGCTTTTACAGAAAACTTTTCTCCCAAAATTCTTTCAAGAACAACTGAACCTGTTGAGATCATAGAACCTGCTGACATCTTACAAGCTGTTTTAAAATCATTTTCCTTGATATCTGAGAACATGTAGTTGAAAATTTAAATTACTGAACAACTGACACTTTTTATATTATAAGGTCCCTGTATACTTTTCTATTAGATAAAAATAAATAACTTTTCTTAGACTGAACCGAGATAATCATAAGAAGTGCATTTTTATCAAACATGAAAATTCCATAGCACTTCTTGGGGCTCTTCCATAACACAACAGCTCATGCGCATTATGGCCAAGTTTAGTTGTTCCTTAAATAAAGCAAGCTTCCGGATGCCAGAAGGTCTTACCTCTTTTAAGGCCAGAGCATGAGAATGAGAAACAGCCAAAAGGAAATTTTGTCCACAATGTAACCTAGCTTCATCACCACTCTGTAGTCAAGAAAAAAATTAGAGCCAAGCAAAATCAAAATTAGATATCATCTTCCTTACTTGATACAGGATTACTAAGGCCAATTTATAAGTATGCCGATATTTTTTTTTAAAAAGTAATGGCAGAAAAAAGTATTGAATTAAGTCTGAAGACTAGGGTTTGGGGTCTGTCTCTAGCGTGTACTGCCGATGTGGTCTTGACAAATTACTAAACTCTCTCACCTGCGTTTCCTCATCTGTGACATGAAAATTACCACATGCCAAGGGTTGTTGTGAGATTAAAATTACATGATGTATATGAAGGAAGAGTAATGTGTGAATCATAAAGAAAATAACAAGTCATTTTTTTTATTTCTTTCCTATTGACTCTAGATTTCTTCCTAAAGAGCAATCTACACCAGTGTCCTGTACTTTATCAAAAGCTATGATTATCACACACAACTTTGGAGATCACAGGATCCAAACAAATAAGTCGGCAACTGGCCAGCACTTTGTCAGCACATGGTCACAAGAAAAGTTGATAACCCCAATGGTGACGTTTTTGTCCAGCCCAGCACAGTGCAACTAAGCAGAGGGCCACCCCAACCCAGAGCACAGCTGGGCACTCTCGAAATAAATGTTCCCAATAAATTCCCATTTTTAAAACCAGAATCCAAACCACCTGATCCATTCTCTAATAGATACATAGATGGATAGATAAATACATATATATAAATGAACTCATCATCTTGCCCCCAAAATCATTTCCCAAACTATAATTTCCTAACCTTCCCAGTTATCCATATCTTCGACTTACCTTCTATTTTTCTTCTTTCCACCTCTCCATCCCTTTCTTCCTTCCTGGACACAGGCAATTGCCAGTTCCAACTGAATTCTCTTTTACAGTCTTGAGAATGTACCAGTTGAGTCATCCACCAACAATCCCCTACCACCTCAGGCTTTTGCTATTTGGTGTGGATTTAAGCACCTAATTGATATCCCTTTTGGCAGTCTTTCTATTGTCTAACTCATACTATACTCAAGACCTCTCGGCACATGTTCCCCAATACTCTACTCCTTGTGTCTGTATGTCTTCACTCGGGTTCTACTCTGCCTGGAATGCCTGGTCACCCCTCTCAGAATGGGAAGTTCATAGCTTTCTTTCAGGATCCATTTCAAAATGGAGCCACCTACTTTGGGCACTTGGCAACTCTCTCCTCCATACTTTCAGAGCTCTTGATAAATACCTTTCTTACAGCAGGTATTATTTACTGTGATTGTTGTGTGGCACTCTCCCCTGTTAGACATTAAGTCACTCTACAGTAGAGACCATGACCTGTTTATCTCTGTATTCTACCGTCCAACATAATACCCAGTTAAGAGAAGTCAATACATATTTGCTGAATTAAAGAAATCAGACAATGTCATAGGTCAAAAGAAAAGAGCCAGTTCCCTGAAAGCTCTCCCTATCCAACTGCCTACCCAACTTCTTCTTTCAATGAACATTTATTAACTCCCCCATTACCTACAAAACACACACACACACACACACACACACACACACACAAAGTATTTAACAAGGCCTTGGGTGATCTGGACCCATCTACAACCTCAGCCTGATAGTGTATCACTCTCCACTACGAACATTATTTTCAAGAAATACTCAACTATCTGTAGTTTTCTGGACATATAATCTCTCACTCCTTTCTGCCTCTCTCTCTCTATCTCTGCTGTTTTGTCTGCCAAAAATTCTTTCTGATGGCTTGCCTACCTAGGAAATACCTATTTATTATTTAACTTTTGGCTGGTTGCTATCTCCTTAGTAAAGCTGGCTTTGACTTCTTTGCTTTCTGGTCTCCCTAGTCCTAAGCATGCCTCCACTACCACAGTCCTCACTCTCTATGACCAAGCACTGCTCTTAGCATGTTACACAGATTATTCCTTTAAGGGAAGTGTTCCTCTTATGCATTTCCATGGTAAAACTGAGGTAAACTTTGGTATGCTGCCTTTTGGAGTAGGAGTCAGTGCACTATTTCAGCAAGGGGCTAAATAGTCATATTTTAGGTTTTGTGGGGCTATTCAGTCTCTGTCACAACTACTCAATTTTTGCCATAGTGCAAAAGCAGCCATAGCCAATACATGGCTATCTTCAGTTAATAGTAAAAGTTTATTTTTAAAGAAACATGTGACGGGCCTGATTTGGCCAGTAGGCCATAGTTTGGTCATTGTAATTCTAGAGACTCAATCAATATTCATCATATTAAATTGGATCTGACAATGTCAGAAACCAAAACCCGATCCCTGCCCTCAAATGATTCCCTTGTCTTATCCCCAAAGTGTCAGCAGTTGCATCCTTTAAGGTATTATTTGGCAAGCACATCCACAGTAGGCACCCCATAACCAGCTGTAGAACTGAACTGAGTGAGAGGGAAATGTGGCCTCAAGGCCTGTTTTTGTGCCAAGCCCCCACCCTCCATAATTCCACCCTAATGGGTGACAGAATCTTAACTAGATGTCCTTGACTGCAGTATTGATTTCCCACAAACAGACCACCTCTACACTAAGGAACAGCCAGGCCAAGGCTCCATCTGTGACATTAACCTGGCCTTTATCTCAGTTTCTAGTGCTACCAGTATAAAACACAAAATTACTTGAAAGCAGCAGGCAAAAAGAAATAAGCTTCCACACTAAAGTGGGTCAAAAGTTTCAACCTATGCAGTGGAGACTTTCTAGTGTTCAGAGTATTGTTTCACAGCAGTTATGAGCATAGCTTTAACATAGACTTTTTTATATAAGTGATATAACAACCAGAAAAATGGAGATGGAAAAAAGATTTAAAAAAGAGACAGGGCCAGGTGTGGTGGCTCACGCCTGTAATCCTAGCACTTTGCAAGGCTGAGGCAGGAGGATCGCTCGAGGTCAGGAGTTTGAAACCAGCCTGAGCAAGAGTGAGACCCTCCCCATCTCTACTAAAAATAGAAAGAAATTAATTGGCCATCTAAAAATATATATAGAAAAAATCAGCCGGGCATGGTGGCGCATGCCTGTAGTCCCAGCTACTTGGGAGGCTGAGGCAGAAGGATTGCTTGAGCCCAGGAGTTTGAGGTTGCTGTGAGCTGGGCTGATGCCATGGCACTGTACTCAGCGTGACAGAGTGAGACTCTGTCTCAAAACAAAACAAAAAAAAGGAGACGCTTATTGAATTACAAACTTCTTGAAGGCAGAAATCATGTCTTATTCACCTTTGCTTATTCAGAATATTGATGAAAGAATGAATAAATGAATTTGTGAAGCTAAGAATATAGATAGTTAAGTTTGCCAAAACACAGACGGTCTCCAAATTCCCTCAGATGTCCTTTAAAATCAGTAAGACCCACGGGGAAGTTGAAAACCTTCCATCTGTGACTCAGGGGATAACCCATATCCTTCCTTTCTCTGGCGGACTTACCATCCTGAGTGCTGGGACTCAGGATTTGGGTTCGAAGTTCCTCCAGGCTAATTCCCAGATACCTGCAGATCTCCTCGGGGCTATAGGGTTCAGAATGAAGGGCTTCCTCTGTGACCAGCAGCATTTCTTCCAGGCTAACCCCTAGTTTGGCCTGCACCTCCTCCAGCCGCAGTACTTTGTCCCATTGCAAGCTTTTGTGCTTAGCCAGGAGCTGCAAGTTCAAAGCAAGATAATGGTCAGTTTTCATTTCAGAATTTGAGATGTACCATTTTAATTAGCCAGATTCAACCTTTAACTAGCCAGATTCAGCTGGTTTTTTGTTTATTTGTTTGGTTTTTGTCCATTCAACCTATCTAAATTTCCTACCATTGCTTGAAAATGCAAGCTGAGTTCAGATGTTTGGAATTAAACATGCTTATGTAACACTCACAGACAAGTATTTGTCTGAAAACACACACACACAAACACACAACTAATCCCGCTCTGATTTTTTTTGGCCTGTTACCACTTTCCCTTGGGGCTATTTCTTTTAATAATTTCATTCTTTTATCCCCATTTGATTCATTCCTACTATATCCCTCTCTAGAAAGTCTAGAGAAAATTACTCAAATCCCATGTGACCTGGATCCTGAGATGGATGCTGTATGCCCAATTTCATTAGCACACTTCCTGTTTACTATATGCCTCTTTGAAAATGGTTAATGAATTTAAGTGTCTGGGCATTTGGAGTAAAGTCCCAGATTTTAAATGAAAACCTCATTGGTGACCTTATGAAAAACCATTTCATTAAGCCACTGGTGGTAGTAGTAGACCTGTACATTTCTCTACTATCAAGAAAAATTGGCTCCTAATTGCATCATAAAACACCCCTCAATCTGATGGAGAATTAATTATAAACCAAATCTTTGTAACCAGTTCCACTCATGGGAACCCCAATCCAGAATGTTTCTCTCATTCTCCCCAAACAACTGAGTCCTTCAGAGCAGGTGACGATCAAAACAGTTAAGATTTCTCTCACCCTGAGGTTTATAAAATTCATTGCCTGGCTGTAAGGACAACAGGTTCAAACAGTTGAAACAGCAAAAAGAATTAAGCGAGAAGGGGACATTAGTCTTCAAGGAAATGTGCATCAGATTTACTCTTCTATTATGCCAATGATTTGATTTTCTTTCTTTTCAACAGGAAGCAGGGTTTACCAGAAGACTATTGTACTTTGGTTAGGGCCACTCACTTCTGAAGAATGTTCATAACAGAAGCTCTTATATTCATTAATCCTGATTTTAAAATCCTAGCTCAGATATTTGAAAGGAGTTAATGATTTTAAGGCAGAACTGGGAAAAGAGACAATAGAACTGTGTTTTTCTGTTCAATTATTTCACAGAGCATGGCTTCATTTTTAAAGCAAGGACACAGGCTAAGACCTTTCTTCTGACCTTGTTTGCTTAGTGTATTTAGTTAGTGTTTATTAGCAGTGCCGGGTTGATAGCTCCACAGATTGACCCACTCACTCATTCATCTAACTCATTCATGTTTTATAGTCCAATGTATTCCAAAAATAGTTTGAGAAAACTTACAAAGACATACATAATACAAAAGAATAAATATACAATATACTTATTTTATATGGAAAAAGAGCTGAAGTCGATGATGTGCAATGATGCTTTCTGGCAACGCATATCCAGAATCCAACTGAGATAAGTGATGAATCTAACAAAAAATAATAGTGCAGCATGGCTTAAAATAAGCTTTTCATTTCTTACAACCTTCAACAACCCTGTAAGATAGGTTTTATTACTCTATTTAAGAGATGAGAGTAAGTGACTTGTCCAAAGTCACTTAACTAGTAAACAACAGAGCTGGAAATTGAATTCCAGGGCTTATCACTCTTGCTTGCTTGCCCAAGGTCACATTCTCAATGAAGTAGGGATGATATCTATGTAGAGCTATCCATCTAAGTTCAAACCACCACTCAAATCTTAGAAGCGTATTTCCAAGCACAAACTAGGATTTGTGCTAGAAGTGAACATTCCAGTGATTTAAAAACACTGTGATAGATGGGTTCTTCTTTCACCTTCTGCAGACCAAGGCACTAGCATACAAAATGTTCCCATTCACGCCAGCGACATCCCGGTTTGCTGTGAGCACAGTTGTCATTCAGCCCTCAGCTGGAGGGTCTGCACAGCCAATTTGGTGTGTATTTCAATTAAGGATGAAATCTACCACATGCCCTCAGTGACAGCTGCCCAGCCGGGCGCTGCTGAATTGCACTGCTCTGAGGGAATGAAATGGGAAAGCCTCTTACGCACTTGGAAATTTGGCTTAGGACACAGAAGGATGACTTGCAGATGAGGGAAATGGGTGGGTAAGACAGATCACTGTTGCTCAAAGACACAACTTCTTGGAGGAATTTGGCACTTCGTGAAGCAGGGCTGTGAGTCAGGGCTGTGGGTTATTTCGTCACAGTTTCCTCACTCAGTAGCAGGGTAGGGAAATCAGAGAAAGCAGTTCTTTGTCAACATTCACCATTTTCTTTTCACCATGGCAAACATGAAGTATTCCTATCGGATACCAGTTCTGGGAGGTTCCTGAGCTCTGCTCCATGCTCCACAGACAAGAAAGCAGGCAACCAGGGCTTCGTCCACAGTCGTGGAGAGAGGCACTCGATAAGTAACACTAGGACTCTGTCTTAGGTTGGTTTCCCTCAGAAGCAAGAATTTGAGGGTAAGAATCAAGGGGAAGGGTGACCCTAAGAAGCACTGGGAGAGGAGTGGAAAGTGAGACAGGAAGAGGAGCCAGTATGAGGTACGCTGATGAGAACAGGTGAGGCTGGGCCTGCTGGGCCCTCTGGAACCTGTTTGCATACACCTCAGCTGTGAACTACCAAAGGGCAAGGAAGCCAGAGTATTTACCCAGTCCTCAATAGTTAAGGGTGCTCTCAAGGGTATCAACATCCTAGCACTTCCAGGTTGTTCCAGACACACAAAAATGTACTAAGCCCTCTGCTATACCCAGAAGCAGCTCTTGGTCCAAGGCTCACTGGGGCTTCCAGTAAAAGCGTATGGTAGGCAGACTGCTGAGATATGGACCTCAACTCAGGAGCCTGTCAGAATCTACCTCTCTTTGACTTTCTCGTTGCATTTGGTAGTATCAACATATCAATGGGGAAAGCACCAAGTCTTCTCCTCACTAGGTCACCAAAGAGAAAAATTTCTAACCCCTTCTCTGAGGATCGATTCATTCATAAGTTGTTTTCCACACAACAAGAGCAGCTGGGTTTACAATAGCATATGTGATATAAATCACATTTATAAAAATTTGATTTGTGACGTGCACAAATTACAAACACATGAACATTTGAAGTACACAAAAAAACTGAAATAAACAAAATCCTCTGGGGAGCAAGATGGCGGACGAATAACACTGCCAGACAGAGGGTCTCTGCAGAAAAGACAGATTCTAGCAGAAACTAGAGGAAAGAAGCAAGAAGACGAGCATACAGCGGACAAGGGCCGGAAGGAGGGGTACCTGAGACCCCGGGAGACTCCACGGGAGGAGGCTGCGGAGGAGAACTGGAGGCTGAGACCACCGGAGCAGCCCGGAGACCAGCGGCAAGAGTAGGTGGAATTGCTGTTTCCCCTCCCCTGCATTCGGGACTGCTGGTGGGCTCCCCAGCGGGTGGAGAGACCTGCAGACACCAGCCCAGAGACTGCCGCCGCTTGCCAGCGGTGAGCCTGTAGCTGACGTGGCACCAGATTCCCAACTTCCTCCGGGCACCTCTGTGTGCACAGACCCGAGCCGCGCGGCAGGCGCCATATTGCCTCCTCCTCCCCTCCGCCGACCCTACCCGCGGCTGCCCAGAGAGACAATACAGCCACCAGCCGGAGGCACCTCCAGGGAAC